GCTGTGTGTTGAGTTATTTTGAGGGGACAGCAAATTTACACTGTTATACAAGCTGTACACTCATTGTAGCAAAGTGACATTTCTTCAGTGTTGTCACATGAAAAGATATAATAAAATATTTTACATTTTACAAAAATGTGAGGGGTGTACTCACTTCTGTGAGATACTGTGTATATATATATATATATATATATATATATAAACATATTGTCACCTTAATTATAAGGTTCTATGTGCCATTTTTGTCCAAATTGAGTCATTCACATATTCTTATTCTGTGACAACTTTACATTATGTGATGTTTTTTTAAGTTGTGTACATTTTGGGACTGATAAAAGAGAGTTGTTCCCCATATCCCACATCATTATATGGAATGCAAAAACTTTGAAGCTCAATATCTCGAAACTGCTCAGAATGCAGATAGAACCTTATAATTCCAAGGTGATGATATTGTTTTATATGTGTGTTGGCTCAACATTGTCTCTCTTCAAACAGATCAGTTTTTGTGGATCGGCATCCCGTGTCGACATGTAAATATATTTCCCTCTGCTAACACACAACAAAACTCACAAATTGTTGTATCTGACTGCATAATTCAGATGATCTACATAAATACATAGTACTTGTCTCATCTCTTATTATTCAGATGCGCCCCATATGGACCATACCAGAATTGTACCTTACCAACAATCCAAGTGAGTTCACACACAAACACAGATATACACACGGACTGTGTTGTTCTTCAGTGTGTTAATAAACACTCTTTCCTCAGTTCACTTGGTTCACCATCTATTACTGTCACAAAGGTGCCCTCCTGTCCTCCCTCAGAAAGTGAGTAGCATACAGTCATCATGGCATTTGAGACAATATAATAATCTAATATCTCAAATATAATGGAAAATAAAAACTCACCAGTGTTGACAACTTATGAAATGCTGTCAGTGTTTATTGCTCCATTACAACAATTCAAACCTATATGACACAAAGATGTTTAGCTTTTGAATATATGTATTTTAAGGTAACTGATTTCAGTTTTTCTTTTTCTTTTAAAGTATTTCATTGTAATTTTGTTTTGTATAGTGTTTTTTTTAATTTTGCGATTATTTTTTATATTGTGACCTGTGAAGCACTTTGAGCTGCACTTTGTATAAAAGGTACTATGCAAGTAAAATTTAAGGAGCATTATTCTTTCTATTTTTGTCTCCCTAGCTGGAAGTCAAGCCAGTTATGTGAATCAAAACGGTGAGGAGGGAATCAACATTCATGTCAATCTTCATGGTCAGAAATCAAATGACTCCTTTTTGTATCGTAATTCTGAGTAGCTTGCACTTTCTTAACTGAATATGGGTTCAATGTAAGCTCTTTGTGAGTGAACACAATCCTGAATGTGTGACTCTTCTCTAGAGACTGGCGATGAGCTGAATAATCGGCCTCAAAGTGAATACATGTAAGAGCGCACCTGCCTGATCCTGAATCTCCACAAATTGTTCTAAACTAGTCATGCTAAAGCGGAGTCATTATCCATATAAAACTGATGAAAAATATCTTTCTTTTCTCCAGAACTGTTCTTCCCGATTCCCCGATCACACAGTCTCAGGGACCCAGCCGAGCTTCATCCCAGAGCTCAGGTAGAAGAGCTGAGATTAAACAAGAATAGCAATCTATTTGCATGTTTCATTATAAATACATTGGAAAATAAATTATAACATCCTCTGACAATGTTGATGCTAACGTTGTAGGAGAATGCTACATAAATGTAAAAAAAGATGAAGATGTACCTGAAGATATATGTGAGGATCAGATGTATGTGGATGAATCAGACTCAGGTACTACATGCTGAAAATAAATAATGACTACAAAGCCCCGCTGCAATGCAGATCCTAACCTTATCTTGTGTATGCTGTGGTCATTTTACAGACATTCCCGATTATGAAAATTTCGATAATTCTCCAGGCCACCGAAAAAAAAGCCATAGTAAGTGTTTTTTGATTAATAGCATATATTTTATATGTATGTTTGTTGGTGAGGAGTGAAAGGCAAAGCAAGGGAAAGATTATTTTCTGCACAGAAACATATTTTTTCACTTTTTCTCTTGCTTTGCCTTTCACTCCTCACCAACAAACATACATATATGTACTTAATATATATACATGTATATAATTTCCAAAGGCAAGCTGCTCTTTGATAAATGCAAAAATAAATAACGGGCTGGGTTTTACAAACACAAGAATAGCCAAATGTATTACAAAAATAAGTAAAAATCATAAAATGGACTATGATTTCTAATTCACCAAACAATAATGGTAAAAGTATCACCTTTTTTTATATGATCAACATTTTTTCATAAAAAAAAATAGGGTGAATTCAGGTAAAATGGGCCTCTTTCTTTAAAGGAAGTTGTAGAAGTGATTCAGAAAAAGAGACTAGTGTTTATTCTGTATGTTGCGCCTCCTCAACAGGTCTGTCCCGTGGAAGTCAAAGCAGTGATGAACGGAACAGCTCTGATTATGTCAACACAGGCCCTAACTTACAGTAATCAAGGTACTATGTAGTTCTCTAATTTTAGTGTATGTGAATATCTTGATACATTTTGGATTGTCCATTAAATGTAAAAGAGGAAAAAAAAAATCTTATTCCATTTTGCTTTTCTCTAGAATCTGCCTTTTACCAAATAATGACAGATAGCAAGGTCAGAGGCCTAACCATCATCCTGACTGCCAGAGGACTTTCCAGATTTAATTATGCTTTGAACTTTGAAGTGCATTACCAAGAAAGCATTGAACCAGTGTCACCTCAGAAAAGTTCCTCCCTCAATCCTTATGACAGATTTGCTGACAATACCTGAGAATGTTTTTATTAGTTTTTTTCATTGTTGTCCAAGTGATTGGACGGCTGTGTAAAAAGGGACCGTGACGAGCTCTGCGTTTCACCCAAAGTTAAAGAGTAAAAAAAACAAACAAACAAAGACAGGGCAAATGAACTCGTTAAATATCATTATAATACATAGTGCATGAAAAAATGCAGTGCCATCAGTTTGTCTAAAAGAATATAGAATGTTTGAATATTTTATGCACGTGGTAGGGAGCAGGTGTCAATTTTTCTTCGTACCAACTAACATTTTAAAATAACTAATCATAATTACGAATCCGAAAATTTACGTCAGAATGACTTACCGAAAGATTTACACAAACTTTTGTTCTGCTTGTGTTTCATGAATGCACTGCATCCTCAATTTTAAATTTCACATGTATGCAATTTTGTCGATAAATACAAGCAGTCAGATATATGAACTGTACCTGATGTGGTTTCTCAAGTTAGTGGTATTACCCCTTGCATATTTTATTGTGCGTGACATGATTTACACACAGCGTGTCTCTTCTCCAGGTCGTGCTTACTGCTGCTTACCAGGTTGTTCACAAAAGCCCAAATGTCGGCTTTTAAAGTAGTTGGAGCATTTTTAATTACTCGCACTCGCGTCTTGCCTCCCTCCGCCATTAGGCGCGTTCGATTTGAAGCGGCGCTGTGCAGAATGATCAGAGTATGACATCAACCGTGAGAGCGATTCGAAAGCATAAGGATCCGTCTGCGCTCTTATCGCTCTCGCGGTACTTGATGTCATACACTGATCATCCTGCGCAGCGCTGCTTCATGTATGCTACCGCGACAAATGACATCAGAAAAGCATCAGTACGTTATAATCAGTTATGGTCTATTACTGAACCGATACCAAATCGTCCTCGTTTGCATCGCGATGCATCGTAGAAACGATTAATTTCGACACCCCTACCGTGCGGGGTGTTTTGAGCAATCACTTGCCTCACGATTCGATTCAATTACAATTACGATTCAGAGGATAACGGTTTGACTATAAAACGATTCTCCATGCATCTTTTCCTCCAATTCTTTTCTTAAAAATAATTACTATATTAAATCATTTTTGTTATTTTACCTTTGTAATTAAAAATAACAAAGATGCAAATAAACAGTAGAACAAATATAAGAAAGATTAAATTAACAGCGCTTTATTCATTTGAACTAAACAGAATCATTCAAGTAAAGAAAAACAAATAATCAAATGTAAAAATCACTGCATAGTCTTTAGCATATTCATTAGTAGTTCAATCAAGAGCACTGATTGATCGCTTTTCTTTTATTGTTTGATTAACATTTATGAGACTGAATAATGCACGGATCTAATATAATGTAACACATCAGATGATTTTTCCCAACAGTTAACCAAACGTTTACTAAAGACATAATAGATTGTTTGCGTGAATACTCGCCAAGACAGATATTTTGAAATACTGTAATTCTGTGTGTATGTGTATATTGGGATTGTGCACTGTCTGAGAGGCATCTTTGTGCGCACGCTTTGGATCTGTCAGTCAGCGCGAGCAAGATCCTTTTCCTTATCGCTCTTAGTAACTCTTTTAACAATCAATCATGACCCACGCTTTATTTTCTCGTTCCTGCATGTTCCTTTCAAAACCGAAACCAAAACGTCAGACGCAAGTGCTTTGCTTAAGATGGACAAATGCAACTTTTTAAAACAAAACCTCTCAGAGAATGTACAAATAAAGATCATTTTAGATGTTTAATTACTATGTGGAGCATTGGGATCGCTAGACAAGGGCTTAATGAACTTATTTTGGTGAAAACCTGAAGTTATACCAAAATTAAAATTTTTCACTTGTTTTTCCTGTAGCTCATAATTAGCCCGTGCACATTCCGACTAATTTTACATTTGTTCTACTGAAAACGTGTAGGCTGGTACCTGTCCAGGGTAGTGGGGCATTGCCTGTATGACCTGGTTGTACTGCAGATATGAGGGAGGGTAAGGAGACGCCACCAGAGGAGGTCCTGCTGCTGAAGCTGCAGCCTGGATCATAGGGGGCGCTGAAGAGCTGTGGTCTGGACGAGTCACTACAGAACCGGAGACAAGTAAAGTAACGTGAGTATGAGACACTTTCCATGAGTAGAGTGCACACAAGGGCCCCACACTCTTATTTTAAACGTTTTAATTTTATATTAGTAACTAACTATAATAATAATAAAAATAAACAAAAAAAATTTGTTAATAATAACAATAATAATAATAATAATAAAATAACCATTAAATAATATAACTATTTATATAAATACATTTAAAGGGGTCATATGATGCTTTTTTTAAAGATCATTATTTTGTGTATTTGGTGTAACAGAATATGTTGACGCTTTAATGTTCAAAAAACACATTCTTTTTCAAATACTGTACATTATTGTAAGTCCTCTATACCCCGCCTCTCTCTAACGCTTCGTTTTCTACAAAGTCCCTCCTTCCGACAAGCGCAGTCTGCTCTGATTGGCCAGCTGACCCAGTCCATTGTGATTGGCCGAACACCGCAAGCACGCGTCGGAAATGTAATGCCCCTTACCATAATCGCGAGCTTCAGCTTTCAAAATAAATGTAAAGACAGAGCCCGAAAGGGGAACAGAGTCTCGTGACAGACACAGTGATGAATATGTGTTTGCAGTACACAAGCCACGGTTAAGACAGGTTAAGACAGCTGACTCCACTGTGATGTGTGTCTCGCTCTCTCGCGCACACACCGCACGCGCGCTCTCTCTCGCGCGCACACACCGCGCTCTCTCTCGCGCGCACACACCGCGCTCTCTCTCTCGCGCGCACACACCGCGCTCTCTCTCTCGCGCGCACACACCGCGCTCTC